AGCCTGAGACCCTGGAGAGCTGTAAAGAGGGGCTGTGGCTCAGTGGAAGAGCCTCTCCCTGGCATGCAGGAGGTCCCAGGTTCAATCCTCGGCATCTCCAGTTAAAAGGACCAGGCAGGAGGTGGTGTGAAAGACCTCAGCCTGAGACCCTGGAGCGCCACTGCCCGTCGGTTATCGACCTTGATGGACCAAGGGGGATCAAGGGGTCCGACCTGGTATCAGGCAGCTGCCCGCATTCAGTGCAGAGGAGGGTTGAGCAGCGAGGGAAGGGAAGGGGCCAGCTCCGTGTCAGGCAACGGTCCTTCCCGGGTGCCCTGTCCCCTGTCATTATGAGCAATGGCTGTGCATTAAGGTATTAGAACATGACAGCTATAATTCTAACCCATTGCTGCTGCCTGCCCCAGCACGGCCGCGATTTATAGCAGCACTTTCCTGAGCAGAAAATTAACAGAGCGAGTGCTCTCCGGAACAAGCCGCCCGTTTGCGCGTACATGCATGGCAACCGCACCGAGTCCTCCCCCACTGAAAATCCTCCCCCCTTTTCCAGGACCGAAGCAGACACAGGTTCATCCACAGCCCTTGTTCCTAGCGACACGTCGGTCCAAATCCAGGGTGCACCCGGGCTGGTAGTGGGTAGAGCGGTGGAGTAGAACCCAAGCCGACCCAGGTTTGAAGCCCCACTTAAGAAGATCAGAAGAGCGCTGCTGGATCAGCCTCCTGTCTCACACAGTGGCCAGCCGGTTCCTCTGGAGGGCCAACAACAGAGCAGAGAGGCCGAGGCCTTCATATGAACATCAGAAGAGCCCTGATGGATCAGAACAGTGGTCCATCTAGTCCAGCATCCTGTCTCACACAGTGGCCAGTCAGTTCCTCTGGAGGGCCAACAACGTGGCATAAAGGCCAAGGCCTTTATAAGAACATCAGAAGAGCTCTGCTGGATCAGAACAGTGGTCCATCTAGTCCAGCATCCTATCTCACACAGTGGCCACCCAGTTCCTCTGGAGGGCCAACAACAGGACAGAGAGTCCGAGGCCTTCATAAGAACTTCAGAAGAGCCCTGATGGATCAGAGCAGTGGTCCCTCTAGTCCAGCATCCTATCTCACACAGTGGCCACCCAGTTCCTCTAGAGGGCCCACAACAGGGCAGAGAGGCAGAGTCCTTCATAGGAACATAAGAAGAGCCCTGCTGGATCAGACCAGTGGTTCCTCTATTCCAGCATTCTGTCTCACACAGTGACCAACCAGTTCCTCTGGAGGGCCAACAACAGGACACAGAAGCTGAGGCCTTCATAAGAACACTGGAAGAGTGTTGCTGGATCAGACCAGTGGTCCATCAACGTCCTATCTCACACAGTGGCCAACCAGTTCCTCTGGATGGCCAACAGCAGGGCATAGAGTCTGAGGCCTTCATAAGAGGATCAGAAGAGCCCTGCTGGATCAGACCATGGGTCCATCTAGTCCAGCATCCTGTCTCTCACACAGTGGCCAACCAGTTCCTCTGGAGGGCCAACAACAGGACACAGAAGCTGAGGCCTTCATAAGAACACTGGAAGAGTGTTGCTGGATCAGGCCAGTGGTCCATCTAGTCCAGCATCCTGTCTCTCACATAGTGGCCAGCCAGTTCCTCTGGAGGGCCAACTACAGGGCACAGAGGCTGAGATCTTTGTAAGAACCTCAAAACAGAACAGTCCCTTTTTAGCCATTTTTAGGCAGGAAGCAGACAGAAGGACTAACAGGTACAAATGAGCAAATGACCCACACACAATGTGAAGGAACTGAATCGTCAACAAGGGAAGGAATCCTGGATTTTTGGGCACAGAGTCTGAGGCCTTCAGAAGAGCATCAGAAGAGCCCTGCTGGATCAAACCAGCGGTCCACCTAGTCCAGCATCCTGTCTCACACAGTGGCCAACTAGTTCCTCTGGAGGGCCAACTACAGGGCACAGAGGCTGAGATCTTTGTAAGAACCTCATAACAGAACAGTCCCTTTTTAGCCGTTTTTAGGCAGGAAGCAGACAGAAGGGCTAACAAGTACAAATGAGCAAATGACATAAATGCAATGTGAAGGAACTGAATCGTCAACAGGGGAAGGAATCCTGGATTTTTTAGCAAATCGGTCATCTGTGTCTGTGCGTGGAGTGGGGAGTCAGAATTGCAGGGGCAGGGAGGACAAGGGGGAAATTACTGCCGGCTCTTTAGTGGGGCTGGTGTTCCTGGCGTGTCAGTTCTGATTTGAGGCCCCTTCAGCATGTGCCTGACCCCGGACTGCCCGCCTGGAAAACGTCTTGGAATTGCTTGTAAGGGCAGGTCAATGCAATCTGAGCGGCAGTGAACGCTCCAACTGCCTGCAGACGCCCCAACGTCCAGGTTTCCAGTAACGATGCAATAACTAAGGTGAGCGTCCACGCGGGGGGTGGGGGGGAACTCTCTAAGAAAGTTAGCCGCACCACTAGGCACAGGCCCGGCCTCCCCGGCAGCTTGCGTGTGGCTGCGAGATTCGAGTCCAGGAGCACGTTAAGACACCAGCGGGATTTTTGCGGTCTACGCTTCCGAGAGCCGATGGTCCCTTCGTCAGTTTTTTTAGGAATGGAGATCCCCGTGTCCTTATATCTCAGTCTGAAGGTGGGAGGGGCGTGGCAAAGAAGGGAGCCAGGATGCAAAAGGCACAACGCAAAATGTAAGCGGCTTGATTAGAGCAGAGCGGAAATGCTGGTTGGGGGGAATTAGCATCTGTAGCGGGATAAGAATCCTCTGTCCTTGTTCAGCCCTGGGGGTGCCCCAAGCCTGTAGCTGTGGGGCCCACGGGGTCCGGCCCCCTAGCGGTTTTCATGGGCCCCATTCTCCGAGCCTTGGCTCCCCCTACCCCTGGCCTCCTACCCCTGATTGCCTGTCAGCCTGTCCACGGGGAGGACGAGGGCAGTGATTTCAGAGGCGGCGGCACAAGTAGCAGCGGCAAGACAAGGTGAGGCTGAGAGAGCCACCCGGGCAGCAAGAATGAATGGTAATGCTCAGGCAAGGCAAGGAGGCAGGCAGGCACCTCCTCTGACCCAGCTGTGATCTAGCGGGCTGGGGCCCGCACACGGACCCTCTGTGGCCAGGCCAGCCGCCCCGCGCCTCACACCTCCCAGCCCTGGGAGGGAGCCACGGGTGGATTTAATTAGCTGGTGGGCCCCCTCAAGGCCCCCTCACCCCCAAAATCCCTAGCTATGGGGCCGGGGTGCCCATGATTCTGTATTTGTGAATGAATTCCAATTCAGCATTCTCACATTGTGATTTCCCCTTGAAGCTTTTCTGATCTACCAATCCCCTCGTTATTTTTTTCTTTTAAGAGCACAGGCGCCTTCTTCTCTGGACTCTACAAACAGCAGGATTTGAACCCACCACTACAGCTCAAGAGAAGAGAAAGGGGCTGGCCACATGCCGCAGGTGCCTTCAAATGTACAACCCCTCCCCCCGCGTACGAAACATCACAGATCCGAATACCGTACTGTACCAAGGTCACAAAAAGCCACGTCAATAGCACCGCTATTTGCTCGAGGACACTCTAGCTCTGATAGCCACAACAGGTGCTTTTTGGACCTAAATGGGAAGGTAATTTGTATATTATTGATCTTTTTATTTCTGCAATTGATTTTTTGTTTCTGCAACTATATTGGCTTTTATTTACTGCATTAGCTTTTTAAATATATTTTATTTTGTAGATGTTCTAATTCAGCAACTGTGCATTTGGCACCAGGCACATGACTTTCATCTTTAGAGGCCTGACAAACATCTTTGTCTTGTGTCCATAGATCTTGCTGCCTAACCTTCCTTTTCTTGGTCCAGTATTCACTTACTGGTTATCTTATTGTAATATGTATTATTGTTACGCGTACCTCGATACTGTTTGACCTCTGAAGAAGGCCCCTAATAGGGCAGAAACGCCATAAGGTCATGTGGTATTGGCCCTTGTGTTTAGCCACCTTTACTTTTTTACGAGGCTTTCATGGGGCCCAGTTTGCGCGGACTCTAATCTGGGAGAACCGGGTTTGATTCCCCCACTCCTCCACTTGCACCTGGCTGGATGACCTTGGGCAAGCCGTAGTTCTGACAAGAGCTGTTCTTGAAAAAGAGCCGTTTCTGTCAGAGCTCTCTCAGCCCCACCTACCTCACAGGGTGTCTGCTGTGGGGAGGGGAAGGGAAAGGAGTTTGTAAGCCGCTTTGAGACTCCTTCGGGTAGTGAAGGGCGGGGTATAAATCTAATCTCCTCTTCTTCTTCTAAAGACTAACAAGCAGGGTAGGAGCTTTCATGAGTCCAGGCCCGTAGCCGGGGGGGGGGACATTTGGGGGCAATGCCCCCCCATATGACTGCTGCCCCCTCCGAATTTTTTTCAATCGGGGGGGGGGGAATTAAAGTTCAAGTAAGCTCCAGTCTCATTCCCTCCCCCCTTTTCCCAGGCCGAGAAATAAACAAGTTTTTAAAAATGCAATAAAATAAAACAAAATTGCAAAAAATAAAACAGAATTGCAAAATGCAAAATAGAGAGAGTCAGAAATCCCCCCCCCCAGCTTACATAGAAAAACAGCCTGGAATCGAGGCTCTCCACTCAATAGGACTAGAGGAGGACTAGAAGTCGCAGTGGAGCCGGAGCTGCTGCTGCAAGAGGAGCAGAAGGTTGGGCTGCCCCCTCTCGATTTCCCCACGCTCCATCAACCAAAATTTACTGGCTACCCCCCTGCTCCTGCATATATGTAGAAACTGGCTTTGGCACTTCTCAGCCTCTGTCTGAAAGTCACAGAGGAGGCGGCAGTCAACTGGAAGCGAAGAGGACGGCTCATCTGAGACTTCCCCTGCCCGCCGCCATTCAAGGAGAAAGCTTTGAATACAGTCCCTCAGTCTCCCAGCCTGTAAAATGGGAATAACTGCGATTCGCTTCAACCGAGGGTAGAATAAGCAGGTTGAAATGAGCTCCACAGATGCATTTGATAGCAGCTCCCCCTGGTGGCCGGCGCAGTACGTACCTCTCACAGGTGCAGCTCAACAGGACAGCCAGAAAGTTGTACACGACGTAGGTGAAGATGACGGCGATGATGGTGCCCCGGGGGATGGAGTAGCTGGGCCGCTTCAGGTCCCCTGATGGGGTGGGAGAAGGCGGAGATCAGGACACCCCAAGCCGAGAGAGACACCCCCTCCATGCGCACGCCCGGAGCACCTTCTGTGGCGCATCCTCCTATCTTGGCCTTCTCCGGCCATACCCACAATGCCCCACTCACCAGACATGTTGGAGCCGGCCATGATGCCCGTGCAGCCATTGAACATGACAGCGAAGACGGTGGTGAAACTCATCATGCGCCCAGTCGTGTAATCCACGGTGTAACCGGCTGCGGGGGATGGGGGAGAAAGGGGCGGTCACACAGAAGTAAGAGCCTGGGAGGGGGAAAGCCCCCAAAAGGTAGCCCAAAAGGCCCTGACACGGCCAGCGGACAGGCCCAGGCCTATATGGTCAGTCATTTCGTAGAAAAGGAGGTGCAGGAGCTCATTTGCATAAATCATTTGCATACGCCACACCCCCTGATAAAGGGTCTGCGGGGCACCTGGAGAAGATCGGGCAGAGAACCCAGGCATATTTAGAATGCCTTTCTTTCCCTTCCCTAAATGGGGAAGGGAAAGAAAGGCATTTAAATCCCCCCAACTTCCCCAAGTTGCTCCGCAAAAGCAGAGAGGCTCAGGGGGGAAAGGGAGCATGTCTGCCTGCCTCCCCCTCCCCAGCCAATCCGACACCGTGGGCTTGTTACTCCCGGAACGCCGTTCCGGGTCGTTCCCCCTCGAAATGACCCCTGCCTAAGGGACTACCTTTCCCCACATGTTCCCTAGAGAGCACTGCGTTCAGGGAAACAAAATCAGCTGGCCCTCCCAGGCCCAAAAGATACCAGACTGGCAACAACCAGGGACTTCTCGGTGGCGGCTCCATACTGGTGGAATGACATCAGGGCCGTGGGACCTTTTACAGTTCCGCAGGGCCTGTAAGACAGAGCTCTTCCACCAGGCTTTCGATGAAGGAGCCGCATTATACACCGAGGAGTGTCCCTGTGCCCTGGCTTCACCATCTCCATCCTGTGCCCCGGCTTACTATCTTTACCGCCGCATAATAAGTTGGGTGATCTGACCTGGCGTGAACGTCATCGGAATGTACGTTTACCTAAGCTATTCTTAAATAACTTTGCTCTCGCTTTTATCAACTTATGTTTCAGTGTGTCCACCGTGCAGGGCACTTTTTGTAGCAGGAACTCCTTTGCATCTTAGGCGACACAGCCCTAATGTAGCCAATCCTCCAAGAGCTTACAGTAGCCTCTGTAAGAAGAGCTCTGTAAGCTCTTGGAGGATTGGCTACACTAGGGGTGGGTCGCCTAAGATGCAAAGGAGTTCCGACTACAAAAAGAGCCCTGGAAGTATTTTAAATGGTTATTTTATGTCTATTTGATTATGACAGGCTTTAATTGTATTTCTATGAAATTTTATGTAAGCCACCCTGAGCCTGCCTCGGCGGAGAGGGCAGGATATAAACCGAATTAAATAAATGAATAAATTAACGGTTCCAAAGAAGATAGAGGGGTTTTTCTGTTGGCATGTCTTTCCCGTCAGGGCTGCAAAGGGGAGAACGGGTGGCATCTGCTAAGACTCCCTGTTTCCAGGCCACTCCATTGCTGACCTACGAGTGGCGATCCTCTGACAAAGGAATTTTAAGGGAAAATAAAAATGCCAAATTGCTGACCTTCCGCTCATGCACAGGTTCAGAAGAACGGACACCCCAGGGCTGAGTTTGGTGTGGTGTAGTATACCGGTTAGGAGCACAAGACTCTAATCTGGGAGAACTGGGTTTGATTCCCCACTCCCTCACATGCAGCTGCTGGAGTGACCTTGGGTCAGTCACAAGTTCCCTCAGAGCTGTTCTCTCACAAGCAGTTCTGGGAAGAGCTCTCTCAGCCCCACCGACCTCACAGGCAATGCTCCCTTTAAGCCGTGGAGCCTTGTGAGCAAAAATTCTACTTTGTGAGCTACTGGCATTAAAGTTGTGAGCGAGCGATTGGGCTACTGCATAAATTAGTTCGCTCTGGAGCCATCCCTTCCTGAGCTAAGACAAAAATCTGTGAGCTGGAGGCTAAAAAACTGTGAGCTAGTTCACACTAACTCAGCTTAGAGGGAACAGTGCTCACAAGGACCGATTTCACACAAGAGCTGTGCCGCGGTTGCGCCTCCCTTTGCCCCACTTCTATTGGTCAATTTCCCACTCAAAGCCGCGCGGCTGCATTTTCACCCGATTTTCCCTGCGATCTGGTGATCCTGCTTTTTGAGGATCATGAAACCACAAGGAAAATCAGGTGAAGCCACGGGTCAAAATGCGGCTGCGCGGCTTCGAGTGGCAAATTGACCGATAGAAGCCAGGCAAAGGAAGGCGCGACCGCAGCGCAGTTCTTGTGTGAAAACGGTCAAGGTGTCTGTTGTGGGGAGGGGAAGGGAAAGGAGTTTGTCAGCTACTCTGAAACTCCTGCGGGTAGTGAAGGGCGGGGGATAAATCCAATCTCCTCCTCTTCTTCTTCTTGATGAG